GCCAAACAGGATTTCATCTTTGAACACTGGATGAGCTGATGTGTGTCTTAGGCTCGGCTGTCTCACTTGGGATGGGCATCCCTGTCTGTTCCAAACCTGCCAGAGTCCACAGGCTTCTTTAAGCAGCCATAATCTGCCTCAGGCAGGGGTCCCAGAACCAAAACTAAACTTCAGCAAGGTCTAGGTCCTGATACTTCTGATCTCAGAAGGTCTTGAGAAGATGACGTTAACAGTGGGAAGACTAGTGAATGTGTGGTCAAGGCCCTTGGGGAGCGACAGCCTTCACTTCACATGGTGGCCAGGGTTAGATTTTCCCCACTTACAGGGTTCTCCTGTAGCAGTACATTCACTGAATGGCAGTTAGAGCCTTGGAAGACCCCACTTTGGTCATTAGTAAATGCAGGAGTGGAATCCTATGTAAGGCCGTTAATTTAGTTCCAGAAAATTAATTTTAAACTTAAGAGAAAAGAACTGATTGGAATTGAGACAATATTTATGTCCCATTAATGATGGGGCACAATATAAGACTAATTGTGTTTAAACAGCAAATGGAAAAACATGCTTGAACGAGCCATTATGTGGTCACAGGAAACTCTACTGGCCAGAAGAAAGAGAAGCCTGCCGCTGCTGAGCCCGTTACACATTCTGCAAAGCTCCTGTCCACAGTGTTACCTAGCACGAGTCAGACCTTGTCTCCTGAGTTCCTGTGATCGCCCTGCTCTTCATGTCCTCTACTCATCGGGGGACCCCATACAGTACCTCAGTTTCCCCTTTCGCCTCTACATGTGTCCAAGCAGCTGGCTCACTGACTGTGCTGGGAAAGGTTGTTGCTGAACGACAGTCCCAACTTTGTTCACGCCAGCCCCCGCTGCAGATACGGCGTGCAAGTCCCACAACACGGAACAAGGCCAAGGCAGCTTCAGTTCTCTGCCCCAGATATCCTATCCCGTGAAAGTTGTGTCCTTATGCAGGAAGCCAGCCAGGTCTGGTTTTCTGCAGCTAAATATATCCCGACAGTGGCTCAGACAGCTTGGAAACCCATAAATCCAGCAGCCATGTTACTACCACTGTCATCTGCGACCATGGCAGTCCTCAGTGATATGGGGTCCCCCATGCCCCTCCAAACGAGGGCCTGTGTCACCAGGCTGCTGAGTTCACAGTATGCTAGACAGGCTATACTCAGGACAGGGGTTGTCTGGGGGATGGTAATGAGCTGCTATCATCGCAGCCCCCATGAAGAATGAGGACCAGAACCGGGGAATACTGAAGCTGTCAAGTCCTAGCTAGTGAAGGAACAAGGTACCAATAGCGGGTTTCAGTCTCAATGTGGTAATCTCCAATTGGAAGCTTTCACTCTCAGTTATTTTCAGTGTCCCCAAGTCAAAGGATTAGAGGTGGTTATGGGAAGTTCAGTTGTATCTCCCAGACATGAAGACAACCTAGGTGACCTGAAAGCTCCTATGGCATAGCATCTGCCAAGAGCTCAGTCATGGCACAGCCACTAACCTGGTGGCCGGCGTGCGCTCTGGGGTCCCCCGAAAGGATACAGATTAGCTATGGAAGACTTCCCCTTCCTTCCATGTGAGATGAAAACTTCTCTCTGCATACCACCATGCTGTTTTGACTACTGACTACTTCTCTGTGCCTCTGCCTTGGGTAGTGTCTGGCTCTCTGTACAGACACTCTGAGCTCAGTAGCCAGCTTCCAGCTGTAGGTCTGACAGACTAGTCAGACAGGTTGGAGGTAGATGACACCAAAACTGCTGTTGGCAGCAGTGGGCTGGGGCTCTTTCCTGTTCCCTGCAGAGGTCCTCTCCTGCACTTCCCTGAGCCTTGAGTCCTCTAGGATCTGCAGGTTACTTGGTTCCCATGAGGTACCTTGCCCATGTGTGAAGCAGTCAGGTAGTGTTGCAGGGCAGCTGACCCTGGCAGCAGTCCGCATGCACCCATTTACCAGTGCTCAAGGTCTTAGGTGTTTAGAATGTGAGCACTGTGGCTGACTCAAGGGGTTGTCCCATGGGGGCAGGGGTATCCACGCACACCCTCATCTTCCGAGAAATAGGCGCTTAGGGAGTCTGCAGTCTGAGATAAGCAGCAAGGCTACCCTACAGTCTTTCTCCAGAGTTGGGGTCCAAACATCTATGCCTGGCCACACTTGCCCCATTAAGCAGCCATGGCAAAGCCCTTGGAAAGGAAACAGAAGGCACGTGGAGGAAAGCTCCAACTCTCTGTTCTAAAGGTGAGAATGAGGTTCACCTCCTCACTGTTACTGACGGTCTCCACTTTTTCTTCCTTCCCTTCATTCTGGGATCACAGAATGTGACAGGGAGGCTACATTCCCTCCATTTCCTACCATTTTTTTCCAGGAAGCCAGGCAACTTTTCCCAGGCAGGAAGAACTGAAAATGTGGTGTCTATTTTATAATGCTTCACAATTCCTGACCGGACTCTGCTCCCAACATTATGCCCTTTGACTTCATAAAAAAAGGACAAATAATACCCAATCTTCCCCTTAGGTAAGCAACAAAAAGTAGGACCTAAATGGGACTCAAGCACTATCACCTCCACAACCCCCAGCTAAGACCCTGGACTCATCCAGCAGGCAGCCACAGAACCTGGTGCTCACTCCCAATGGGTACCTCAGAACTTTCATGATGCTCAAATTTACAAAGATGAGTAATAACCCTTCTCCCAGGGTGAAAACAACATCATGTACTGGAGAGCTCTCTAACCCCATGGTCACACACATAGCCCTGGTTAAACTTGGTGGGTCACAAAACAAAGCAGAGATTGTCAAAGACCCTTGCAGGGAAGAGGAAAGGATAGGAGGAATGTAAGAGGAGGACGGGAGTCATCAGGAGGCATTACTATACATGTATTTAAAATTTAAAGAACAAATCTCGTTAATAAAGCAACAAAAGCCAAGCAATGGCGAGGTAAGCATGCCATTTTCTTCAGTGGTGTAGACACTAATACGTTGCCCATGCTCAGTGAATACCTTAACCCTTAATAAAACTCAATGGGTCAGAATAAAAACAAGAAGGCTGGTAAGATGGCACCACTGTAGGAAATGGCACCTGTGGTCCGGCCTGAGGGATGGAGTTTGAGCTATGGGATCTACACAAGGAAAGAGAGTCCTTCAAGCTGCCCTTTGATGTCTATACTCACTGTATCTTAGTACATGTGAGCCCACCACTAACTAAATAAATGTAATAAAAAATCAACAATGAAAAGACATGCAAGTAGGATGGGGTTCTGAGGGGAGGAGAGACGCAGAAAGAGCGAGGAGGGGGTCAAAGAAGGTAATGAGGGATAATGATCAAAATACACAATGTCCCCCCGCAAGGTTACCAAAGAATAAATACAAAATAAAAATAAAAACAGCCATGAAGAACAACGGCCTTCCACAAGTGAGAACCAGCCTCTCTGCTCTCACTGGTCCCAGTCGGCTTGAGGAATCTGACGACAAACACGCCAGTGCGCTGTTCTCATGAGGGGCCAACTCTGATCCCAAGAAAAACACATGCAGGCAAAATTCCCAGGTTTCCTTATTCTTACAAATTTGGACAATCAGTGGGGAGGAGACTCATTTTCTTGCCAGCCAAGGCGAGGGCCAGACAGTACTTTTGTGGTCTACTTCAGGACAGGAAACTTGTAAACAACCTCGGGGACAAACCATACACGCTCATCAGGATCCTTACTCAAGGCAGAAGGTCACCAGGGAGGTAGACAGCCCAGATGCACTCCAGCATGTGACCGTGTGCGGAAGCCAGGACAGTGCTGGCTCCCAGACAAGGAACACTGACCTCACCTTCTAAGTCTGACAGTGCTGTAATGTGGGCCGCTCGAGAGAGGCGCTCATGGGAGCAGTGTTCCAAAGCCAGTGGGTATTAGAAAAGAGTCTGGTGCTCGAGAGCCTGGTACTCAATGCCACCGGACTGCAGAGGATGGGGCTGGCTGGCTCCCCGTGTCAGAGAACAGCAGAGCTGGGCAGACGGGAAAGCACAGACTCCTCTAAAAAGCATTTGTTTGAAAAAAGCGGTTAAGGAAGGACTCTGGGACAAGCTCCACACTGACAGTGGCCTCAGTTTCCTCCACTGTAGGAGACAGCTACACCTTATCTGATTTCACAGGGCCTACCTGAGCAGTAATTGAACACAGGAGCAGCGTGTGCGCAGCTTGGAACAGAGCCTTGGTGTGAGCTGCCCTCAGCCACACTGCAGTGCTGTGGGCTGTCCTGCAGAGCCCCAGGACATCCTGCCCCCAGCCCTCTACTCAGGGAGTCTGAGATATCTGGATTCCCCTGCCGGTGTCTCTGGTCAGCTATGTGGCTGTCACTGGACAGCTTCTCACATGGAGGCAGTGACCAGATCTCTATTCTATAGTACCACTTCAAAAGAGAAACTTAAAGTTTTAAAAGGGCAGTAACTATCTCCAGGGTCAAGTGGCCATTCTTTGGCTGTGAGCAGGCTGCCTTCAAAGTTAAGACCGTAAGACGGAAACTGCCTGTACCCCATACGGAAGGGCAGGGGCGCAGGAAGGCCCAACAGTGACTGACTGACCAGGGTGACCTGGTTGCACGATTTCTTTACAAGAACTAAAATTCATCTACAAACATCAAATTATTAATTAAAAAGCAAAACAAAACGCACAGTTAGGACTCTTTAAAAGACAGTGATGCATTCCTCATAGGCTAAAGACACTTGGATAGCAGGCCTGAGGGCCTGAGCTGGATCCTCTGGGCCCCCCATAAGGGCAGGAAAGAAGTGTGATTGCATACATGCATCATAGCACGCATGCTGCCCGCACAAACAAACAAACAAACGAAATCTTACCAAATGATGCCCACACATTCCTAACTTAGCAAGCTGAATTTTGACCAATCAATTACAAGAACTCATGAGATAGAAGCTCAGTATCAACCTAAAGGAGCGGGTCTTGTAACTTCCCACCTTTCTCCACAAAGAAATGCATCGCTGTGCTGAAGCTCAGAGCCACTCACCTGCTTGGTCGGGGGCTGGCTTGGAGGAGGAGGTAAGGAGCTCGGAGGAACCACGGAAGGACTCCCGGGTCCCAGCTCCGGAAATGGGTTAGGGATAGCTGGGAGAGATGAGGTTTTGAGCTGCTGGTCTTCCTCCTGAAGACGCCTGCAAGGAAGGAGGCCGACACCGGTTAACATGTGCTACCCTAACACATCGGAGCACGGCGGCTGCTGCTGCGCCCATGCCCTGGAAAGTGGAACGTAGAGTTTCTGTAGATGCTCACACACCTGTGTTCATTCACCATGGACGAAATTGGGAAGTAGCCCATCTGTCTAGCCATGAATGGATAGGACAGCAAAATGTGGTATGTCTCTGTGATAGGATATCATGTAGCCTCAAAAAGAGAATGACCCCCAAAATAAAGAAAGGACATTGTGAAATACACTATATATTGAGTGAGCCTAAAGGAAATTATGGTGAGAGAAATAATGCAGGAAGAGAAGGACACATACTGGGAAGATTCCACTTGTGGAGGGCATACAAGTTAGTAGAATTCAGAAAAGAGAATGGTAGTTTCCAGGGACAGAGGAGAGGGGGAGCAGCTAGTTAGTGAGTACCGTCTTTGAGATGAACACATATCTAATCCTAGAGGAGGCTTCACGTTTCTTTATCTGAACCGTGGAAACGAGCAGGTTGTACAGAAAGGGGGTTAGTATTGGACTGGAAACCAAGGTTTCATGTAGCCATCTTCTCCTTTGAGTGTCCTTACCGATTCAACATCTCCTCTGTGCTCCTTGGCACTTCTCCAGGGTCGCCTCTCCTCCCTTTCCTCCTCTGGAAAATCCAAAGCTCACTTTTCACACCATTAGCCAATGGATGATGAAGTGGGTTTCACCAGGAAAATAGCACAAAAACGAAGTTCAACGTCAAAAGCTAAAACTGCAAAGTGCCCAGTGCTTCTCTTTGTAGAGTCTTGCTAGTCGCTTCCTGACCATGTTTCCTGGGGTTTCCCGGAAACACACTTCATTCCACCCACCTATCTATCTACGTGTCTTCCCCCCACTCATGCCCCCACCCACTCATCCACCCCCCCACTCACCCACCCCCCCACTCACCCACCCCCACCCACTCATCCACCCCCCACACAATCGAGGGGACATGGCTAGTGTGTAGAGTCCTCTTATTTCAGAACACTTTGGGGCTACCTTTTGTATATTATCCTCAAATAAATTTTTGAATAGTTTTACAATCTGTTAAGATTATTTATCCATGAGCCTTCCTGGGAGAATTGCTATTTGAAAATTCACTGTGTGACCACTGGCCTCACAAACCAGTCTCCAGCTTCAAAGGAAGATCTGTCTTGCCATTTTGTGTGACCTGGGAAAGGATGTGCTGACTTTTAAGACAGCAGATCTCCCAAGGCCGGGAGGACATCTGTGTTGTGACACATGGGAAAGTTGCTCCTATACCAGCTTGATGATGTGGCAGGAAGCTAATTTTCACTGTTAACAAATCCTGCTCTTCCTTTAACAGCCTCATCTTCAGCATCTTTGATCTACAGAACCAACAAGGACTGTTTCTGATGTCCCAGAAGCTCACAAAAGCCTACTTCTTTATTAGGGTGTTTTGAAAATGTGCAACTTCATTAATTTTTTTAATGCTATAACATTTCACAGATACTGCCCAGAAGTATAATTAAGGGGCATTATGCAAAGATGAAAGCCATCCCTGTTACAGGGGCCTACATTAAAAAACTACGTCCCCGAGGCTACAAAGCCAGTGTCTGTGGAGAGGTGCTGATATTTAGGGACATCAAGACTGCTACAAAATAGCAGGCCTGGGAGGTGGAGGTGGCCACACTTGGGAAACTGTGCCTGGCTCATCTACCTGAGAAATCTCCCTCGCCTGAGCTCTCCTCCTGCTCCATCAATTAGCCTGTGGGAACCACTGGGAACCCATCATGACATTCCAGGGTCATGTATCAGACACCCTGTGTATCAGACATTCACTTTACAATTCACAAAATTTCATGGTTGGGGTCACCACCATTAGGAAGGTTGAGAACCTTTTTTATGTAGGCTGTAGTGCAAACCCTCCCTTCTCCTGTCACTAGCCCAGAACCCTACCTCTGCTGTGAGCCTGGGCTTTTCTACCTGGGTTTTCAGAGTGACCCAAAGGGACAACCTCAGAGACTTGAGTGGGAATGACTCCAGTTAATTAAATGAGAAACATCATGGAGTCTGCTCCTCATTGCTCAATAGATGTGTCACTTTATAGAGCGTGGTCAATTCTGTTCTTACAATTTAAAACAAGTCTCACTTGATGGTAAAAGACAGGGCCACTTATGAAGCCAAGAGAAGAGCAAGCAGCGGCCAGGAAGGAGGTGCCTGTCACCATATGATAGTCAGCCCTGCTGTCTTACTCATCAGAGGCACCAGTGGTATCACAGAAATGACAAGTTTAACTAGAACCTGAAATGCCCCAGACAACTTATGAACTCTCATTAGAGAGATCTCTGGCACTACCCTTCTCCTGACCCACTCCTGGGCCCCTCCTCTGGGCAGTAAGAAGGCACCTTCATTCTGGGGCACCCTCCCGAGGCAGCTTTGGATGGGCAGCAAGTAGACCCTTGAACCTGGGAAAACTCACAAAGAGTTGAGCTTCCCTTCCAGACTCAAAAGAAACCAGAAATGGGTGAGAGGGTCAATTCACCCCATGAATATAGCAAAAAGCTTGAAAGCCTGAAAGGCAATTGACCAGAGGGCCAGCAACCCTCACCACCTCCAAGGAAATGGGGCCTACGGGAAGATGGTTACTAAGTCTATAGAAATCTTAAGATGGCAGACCAGAGAGAACCCTTTTAGAAGTTTCTGGAAGCAAGGAGGAGTAGAACATTCCAGAATAGGCAGTGCTGAGAAAGTACAGCCACTAGAATTCCAGCTGGACAGAGACTGGGCAGTAGTCCCAAGCACAGTCCACTGCACACACATCTGTGAATTCCCAGAGAGGCAGGCTTGTACTAAGAGCTCATCATCCTTGCTCGGTCATGCATGCCTGAAACTCATGGGAGTCCTGAGGCTGGGCCAGGCAAAGGCAGTGCTCCTCAAGAGCTGTCTTCCCCAACTCGGCTGGGTTTCGTAAGCCAGGCTCTCCATCTTCTGAACATGCTAATTACCTTCCTTGCTTTTCTCAACACAAAGTCAGCTGCTCTCCACTCTTCCCTATCCTCTAAGTCCACACAAAAGTCACAGGACTGTTTCTTGCTCAGCAGTACCCTCAACTAACTGCACCCTTCTTCCCACGGGGACCCCGTCACCTGCAGGCCTGTGGGCTCTCCAGGAGGCTTTCATGTCAGAGCATTCCCTGCAGCCATGCTGACCTTCCTCCTGCCCTACAACCCTCAAAGCCAGAACTGTGCTGCCTAAGCCACAATGCGTCGTCCTGTCTTGTGTATCCTAACCTTCCTCTTGCCCAGTTGCTGGGAAAGGTTCAGAAGCCTTTTAGAGTCTTCTCTTTGCTTCCTCTCTCCAACCTTCCACTCTCCCATTAGCTTGGACTCAGCTCGGAGACCTGTCACCTCCCAGGAAGTTCCCTCAAGGTCCCAGTCCTCTCTTCTTGCCAGCACAGACATGCTTTCCTGTTCAGTCCCCTAGGGATGAGGCCAGAACAGAACCTCGACTGAGGTTTGGAATCGGACATCTCTTGATTAGGCCTGGGAGAACACTGCAGCTGGTCTACATATCCTACCCTGAAGAACGGGAACTTGGAGCATAGTCGTGGTGTCTGCTGGGAAGCAGGAGCCTGGGAAAATGCGTAGATGCTGAGCCAGGCAACAAGTTCACACCAAGTGCACCAGTGCGGCTACTGAGACCCACACTTTCAGTTCTTTGAAGTCAGCTGGCAGAGGCACGATTTGGGAACTCTGGTGACATACCTATAGACCGCCAAAAGCAGCCTGGCAATACCATAATGCCTGTTCCACGTGCTCCCTGCTCTCTTATCACATTGTGCTTTCTCACTATCGCAAGGGTAGGGCCCACTCCTGCGACTCTCAGTATCTGTCCTGTTTTACTGTTAATTATTGTTGCATATTGTATCTAATCTATAAGCTGGAATTCGCTGTTGGTATGCATGTGTAGGGAAAACTAGAGTAAACAGGAGGCTCAGGACTGTGCTCTGGCTTTAGGGTTGTGACTCATTTTCCCCAAGATTTTAGAGTGACAACTGTACTTGCTATTGACAGAATCCCATTTAACATGGTTTTACAGTCATTCCCCATCACCCTTTGTACCTTAGAAAAGTAGAATAAAAGCAGACAGTACCTTTTCTGGGCCCACCTGATAGGCAGAATATGGACAGGTTGGGAACGCTGCACTTTTTGCTTTGGGGACGCCTGCGGCTGCTGGCTACGTGAGCCAGAGGCTGCTGGCTGGTTGCTAGCATGCTGGCCATTCTGAAGAAGGGGCACAGTGTCAGTGTCGGACTGCATGTTGCAAGCTGAGTTAAGGCTTTCCAAAGACGAGTTAATATCGTTCATTAGCAGTTGAAGGCCAAAACCATGCTCTGCACATAAAAAAAAAAAACAAGAGAAGAAAGAAATGTCAATGAGGGTGTAGAGTTCCACCAAAATGCTCATCCTAGGGTAAGTAGGCACTCAAACCAAACAATATTTTAAAAATATGATGAAATCATATTATTACTTATTAATTACATACAATACATAAATTCACATGTATACATCTACATATATAGTTTAAAATGAAGTTATCCCACTTGAACTAATAATGCTCTTTACAAGAGCTAGAGACTAATAAAAACCCCAGTACCAGGTAGTAGGAGAAACCCCCTTTTGAGATGTTGGTCAAGTGAGTTCAAGATACTCTCAATACACTAAAGGCTATTGCAGTTGGCCTGGTTATATTCTGGAGGTTTAAGGTAAGTCCCTATTGCTAAAGATACCATGTAGTTTAGACATAAGACCTGGAGTATCGAAGCCGGATCTGACTTGAAAGTTTCCTCTGTGAGGATTAGCTTTCATCATACCACAAGGTGCTGTAAAAGTTACCAAGAGAAGACAGTAATCAACAGTCCTACTGGGCTGTAACACCTATGAGTGTGACAACAGTGTCCAGTATGGCAAGATAGAACAGTGCAATAGTGGTACTTCTATCTCGGAGGCAACCAACAACTTCTCTAATTTCACTCAACAGGACGAAATCATGCCTAGTACCAGAAACCTACCCAATATCCCAGGGTTACTGAGGTCATGGATCTTGGATCACTTCACTAAACCAGCATAATTTCTAATTGCATTGTACTCATCCTTATATTCACAGTAACTGTAGTTCTCATCTCTTTGCAACAGATAGAGACCATTGGAGAAAGCCTATCTAGTCAAAATATAGAGGCTGGTCATGGGGATGTCCAGCCCCTATGGATATATTTACAATATAACTCTTGTACTTAAGGGAACATTGAGGAAGACAGGGTGGAATGATGGTAACAACCAGAATACCAGGAAGTCTTCTGTGAAACAGTGTTTCCTAAAGTTGTTAATTTTTAACTACAGGGCAAGCAGTGACCTAGGCTGACCCCATAATAGCACTTTACAAGTTGTAAAAGATGGCTTGGAGTACACCCCCCCCCCAAAAAAGGGCTACAAGCCATAGACTGTAAGACGTTTACCCTCACAGGTCATGGCTCCTGAGTCTTGTACAGAATAAGTAGCTCAATTTCATTTTTTTTTTTCATAAAAAAAAAACAACAGAAAGCAGACAACTGGTCTACCAGCCGAGGAAGCAGATTTGAGGAATGAAGCCACTTGCTTTTTTTTTTCTAGATCACTTAAGTAGCAGAGAACATCTCAAATTTGAAAATAAATGTAGATGTTTGTTTGACCAGGAGTATGCACAATAAATGGGCTCAAAAAGCTTTCTGGAGCACCGGGTCCTCCCTGCCCCTACTCCCCAAACTCATGTGGCAGGCTGGGCCAGTAGTTCTGTGTAGAATGCTTTGTCTAGAGTACATGTGCACCAGGATCTTGTTCCTCAGCACTATAGTATCTTAGATGGCCTTTCTTGGGTGCCTCTTGTTTCTCAAGATTGACCACAAAAGACACTAAAGGTCACCAGAGGATACCTGGCATGGTGTAGGGAATGGAAAACTATGCATTGTAGGAATTAGCACCTTTCTGGGGGAGAGGAAACGGGGCACAATTATGGAAACATATGGGCAGAAGCAGAAGAACCTTCAATTCCCCTGACTTGAAGCTGCAAGAGATCCCAATGGGAGCTGGATACTGGAAATGACACATGGTATGTCTAGGCAGTTCATGGTCCAAGGTCATCAAGAAAGAAAAGACAGCAGGCTGCTGAAAATAGTGTTGATGAGCCCTTGCTGTCTGACTGGTGCCGTCACCTCTGGAATAAGAATAGACGCCATGTACAAGAGATGCTGACGAGGGAGGACAGTGGGCGGTGGGCCCGAGAGAGAAGCGCTGAGGTGGACACAAGGATTCAGATCGTCAGTGAAGTCTAGGAACTACATACAGGGAGAAGGGAAGGAGAGGAAGAGGATGTTGGTACAGCACACGTTTTGAATGATCAGATATGAACCCTATTGCTAGATAGTAAATGGACAGGAGTGCTGAGTTGGTAATAATGACTGCAAAACTAAGAATCATAAGGGGGATTGCTGATGGCCAAAGGAGAGCACTTGCCCAGCTAGGGGTTGATTGGCTAACAAAACATCCAAGACTCCAGTGGGGCAGATGGGGATTACACCTTCAGGTCCTGTTGTTCTCTGAAGGGACATGACTCTTAAGAAAGCCCTCCTCTGAATCCTGTTAGAGCAGCATTTGGTCGTCATGCCGGAGGAGGGACTAGAGGATGGCTAAGGAGAAGATTGCAGGGGGAGTAGAAGTTACACTAGGGTTAATAAGTCTGGGACTTTGGGAGAGTCCTAGAATACATGCTTCCTGATACATCTGTACTCAGGTTTAGTTGACATACAATCAGTAGCTTAATCTAAGCTCTCCAAACAATTATGTATTCATGCTTTCACCCGCAGCTGAACATTTCTACCTTGATGGATCATTTAAGAAACAACACTGGGCGAACAAAGTTTACTATACTAATAGTGGTGGTGGTGGTGGTGGTGGTGGTGGTGGTGGTGGTTGTGGTGGTTGTGGTGGTGGGGTCCAGGCCAGCCCAAATTCACTGAGGGAAGAAACCGCATGTGAACTAAATTTTGCTACACGCAGAGCTGCTTCCTAAGTGTTCAGACAGAACAGCGCTTGTAAGACACTGAGTCCCATTACTACTGCTCTGATCCTACTGATACCCAACAGAAACATGGTTCCTGCTCCAACAGCGCTCCCAGCCTCTGAGAAAACGAAATGGCTTGGTTCACGCTGGCAGATTTTCTTTTGTAGCTATTTTTCCCTGAGCTTGCTGCAGCCTTTGGCTGTGCCGACCCCTGGTGGCAGTCCCTGGTGTCTCCTGTCCTTTTTATTTCTTTTGTTTTTTCATCAACAGGTAAATTCCTAGGTTGGTCCTCTGCAGTAAAGCCAAAGCAATTCTGATATTATACAAATATTATTCATATAAAGCAGAAAGATGCTAAAGAGACAATACATGTTCAGATCTTCCCTTCTGAAGTGGCAACTTCTTTAGCTGAATAATAAACTTTATTGGGTGGTCTTTGAAAGAATACCCGACTAATCTGATAACATCCAGTTACCAGGTTACAATCTTCACCAATCAAACACAGCTACTATATCCCAGATGCCTCAAATCTTCAGGCTTTCTGTAGCCATCGGAATGAAAATGAAACTTCAAAGTTCAAAAATGGCTTACTCTACAACCAGCTTTGATATATCCTGTAAGAACAATTACTAACTTTCTCTTACTACATTTCTGCAGACATTATATAAGCGTATATTTTTCCCAGTGAGGACCGCATTATATTTTCTGTCCATGTGGCCAATTGCTAAACTGTTCTGTAGTCCCAGGAACCTGAGTGGATCTACAATAACCCGATTGTGAAAAGCTTTCTGCCAGTGAGCAGGAGTGGGAGAATGAGGCTAACTGATGTTTCTGGAAATGAATGTTCAGACTGCCTATTCAATGCTAACTTGATGAAACAGATTTTCCACAAGGTTACCCCTTCAGAAAGAACAGTAGGGAAGAAATGACTTTATCTATCTTTATATATGCAATTTCACCTCAGATGAATTTGCAAGAATGTGTTTCCCGAACAAACATGGCTGCCAATCAAGCCCTTAGTAGCAGCTGTTTGTCTCCTTTCCCTAAAGAACCCGGTTTCAATTGGGCATTGATTGTGTCCCAAATATTTGAGGTCATTTGATCTCAAATTCACATCTCTTTTTGCTTCATTGTCATTAGAAAACTCAAGGCTAGTTTTGTTTGGAAATACGTAAGTCAAGTAAATTCTCATTTGGTTCATAAGCAATGTCTCTCACAAGCCAGGTGAGGTGTGCTGATCAGGAAGGGCAAGGAGAGAGGAGAGGTGTTAGCCAAAGAGAGTTTCACTCCCGGGCTGGCGGGCGCACCTTAGCACCTTAACAAACCTTGGTTCACAGCACCATCTAGTGTCTTTTTTACGCGAACTGGAGATTAACGGTGATTCCGCATTTTCTTCACTAAATTATTCTGTCTCCTTAAAGGCATTTGCACTATGCATATATGATGTATCTGTTATGACGGTCCCTTCTTTACAGGTACCCCGCTCCCCCGCCAGGGACTGGGAACACTCAGCGCCTGTCTTGTTTGCTCTTGATTTCCATGGGAGATACATCTGTTAGGAAACGATAAACTGTAGGCAAGCTTGTGTGCCTGAATGACAGGGACTGAGTCTCTCTGAAGAAAAAAATTAAACAGCACTCTACCTAAGAAGTTTCCATTTCTCCAGGCTTGAGGTCTTTATTGGAAAAGTTATTTAAGTCCCTTCAGTCAGGATCAGAGATGCAGCATGTATATGGTCTTTTTGATTAAGTGTGTGATCAACAATACTTGGTTAACTGCACATGCTACTCCATGTCATCCCAGCTAAAGGATTATCTTCTTTTGTAAGCACCATCTCTTTCTAGGAAAGTTTTTTTTTTTAAATTCAGTCAAAAATCAGTGTATATGCTACTATAGTTCTGTTTTCTGATTTGTTACTTTATGGTAATTGCTTAAAAAGCTTGAAGACAGAAATGAATATCAATGCTCTTTCAAAATATACTTGAGTCTAAAAACAATGCCCTAAGGAACACAAAAAGTAGTTTCTGGTATTGAGCAACGTTCACCCTACAATCTGAGGGGCCAGAAATCAATCATTTAAATATGCTACAAATGTTACCATGGAAAGCTGGAGTTCACTAATATTTTATTGTTAGGCATCTTCAATAATTAGATGAAAGATGTTAAAATTCACTGTGGCTTTCCAGCGTTTCATGAAAAAAAGTAGACGAAGGTACTGTTAGCCTTCTCTAAGGTTTCATGTAGTCATAGATTAAAAGGGAAGGGAGGGTTTGAATAGAGCACTACACACACACACAC